TGCTGGCCATTTTAATCTATCCATATACATACCTATCTCACTTTGAGAGAAAACTGGGTCGCTATATTTTATCTGTTGGTATCTTACAGACATTAAGGTTTGAATCTTGGACTTTTATATCTTGGATGCCTAAATGATTTCAGGTTATCAAACAAGTAATTTTAAGAGAGGAAATACATTTTTGTCTCTTTCAACTTCAAAGAATGAGCTTCTAAAAATAAGTGCTGAGTTTCTACTTTAGATTATGAAAAAAAGATATATATACATGTACACATATAGACATATATACACATATCTATATATAAACAAAAAAAAGCACATAAAAATCCATGAATTCAGAAGCTATATTTAAAATAAATGGGCCAGATGGCAGGTAATTAAGATACACTAAAACTGTTAATGTCGCACATAAGGATTAAAATGTATCAACAATCAGAGCTGGGCAGAGAATTTCTGGTGTCATAATTTGCTTCTATAGCACTTTGCTGTGTAATTCACCTGCAATTAAAAGCAGAAAAAGCCTCTCCCACTCTTCTCCTTTTCTCAGGTCTATGATTTGGAAGCATGTTTCCCATGACTTTTTCCCCCTCTAATCACTCTCCCTATATTATTTGTCTAAATCAGAGGGAGAAAATAACAAAGCAACAAGCAGTAAAAAGCAATTTCTATTACAGGGAAACAAAACTGGTGATAATCCAGATCCCTTAGAAGTGAAATCTACCCGGGCGCCTGGGTGGCTCAGGAGGTTAAGCGTCCGACTTGGCTCAGGTCATGATCTCGCAGTGTGTGAGTTCAAGCCCCGCGTCGGGCTCTGTGCTGACAGCTCAGAGCCTGGAGCCTGCTTCCGATTCTGGGTCTCCCTCTCTTTCTGCCCCTCCCCTGCTCATGCTCTGTCTCTCTCTGTCTCAAAAATAAATAAAAACATTTTTAAAAAAATAAAAAAAAAAAAAAAGAAGTGAAATCTACACTCTGTGGTCAGTAAAACCAACTTGCTTTGCGTCTGTTAGCACCCTACGGTCATTTGAAAGCCTAAGGCAAACTTCACCAGCACAGAGCCCCCATTAGTCAGCCAGCATCACGGTCTCCCATGCACACCACCACAGGTTGTCCTGGGGGCTCCGGGCCTGCAGGGGAATTCAAGAGGTTGGCCATTCACCAAGGCGGACCCAATGGCCTTTGCAGCTTCTCCACGAGAGCTTCAAGAGTCCTGCATCCTGTTCAGTGGGCACAGGGAAAATGGCTCCCGTCCTAAAACAGCCAGCCTGGCTCCATTTGGCTGTAAGTAGTTCCTGGCAGAATTCCTGCCAGGAATGAGTTTGGATGGTTGGTGGAGAGGTATCCCTTCTACTTTCAGAGGTGGTGACTGGGTGGCCTGTGGGAATCTTAAGGGAAGTGGGCTAAAGCCCTTCCTGGTCCCTGGGCTTGGCTCCAGCAAAGCCCAGAGGCACCTCAGAGCCAGCTGTGACTAATGCCAGCCTTACTCCCGGGCCTTGTTTGAGGCTGAGGAATGAGCTATATTGGCAGTGAGTTTGGTGCCAGTCACGAGGGGTTTTCTTGCTCCTCACATCCGCTTCTTTCAAGTCTTCTTTCATTCAGCACAGACTGGTTTTATCTTCAAGGAAAAGGAGTAACAAAAGATGCCGGTTTCCACCTCAGCAATTTTTAACCCCTCTTCCCCAGAAGTTAATCTTTGTATGAATCTCTACACCAGCACAATGCCTTCTCAACGCTCAATAAAATGATAGTTTCCTTTCCTTGCATATGTCCTGCCTTCCCCATCCTGGCCATTTGCTAAGACCCAGGGCCTTCCTGCTGGGCTGCCCCCACTTTGCAGCCCCACCTGGACCTGCCCAGGGCTGCTCCCCCGGCTAGAACCCTCTCAACCCTCATCAGAACTGAACTATCCTTTGTCCCACTCCCTAAACAGCTTAATTTTCATGTTGAAGCCACGGTATCCTGTATAGTAATCTGTATTTTATAGTACATTTTGAGAGCCATTGGGTATCTGTTAGTACTGAGTTAACCTTGTGGCAGAGGCCTTCGATGCCAAATAAAGCTGTGATTAATGCTGAGATTTTGGAAGTGTCTGGGCAGTTGGAAAAGGGGAGCTCAGTGGACTGTGCTTCTCAGCTCACAGGTTTCTACTATTAGGGCTCAGAAGCCCTGACCAGCATTTCCTTTTAAAGAGAGACCTTTGGGGCGCCTGGGTGGTGCAGTCGGTTGAGCGTCCGACTTCAGCCAGGTCACGATCTCGCGGTCCGTGAGTTCGAGCCCCGCGTCGGGCTCTGGGCTGATGGCTCAGAGCCTGGAGCCTGTTTCCGATTCTGTGTCTCCCTCTCTCTCTGCCCCTCCCCCGTTCATGCTCTGTCTCTCTCTGTCCCAAAAATAAATAAACGTTGAAAAAAATAATTTTTTTTTAAATAAAAAAATAAAAAAAATAAAGAGAGACCTTTGTGATGGGTCCAACCTCTTGCCAGAACTTTCCAAGACAAAGAACTTGATGCTCCTGGCTCTGCAGCAAGGCAGAGCAAAACAGCCAAATGGGCATTACCGGGACACAGGTGACCACGCTGTCTTGATCCACCAGCCTGAGACCAGGCGTGTCTGCCCAGTAGTGGCCTGTGCTGCAGGATGGGGTGTCCACAGGTTCTACCATGGAAGGCCCCAGAACAAGGGTGACTACAAATAACCTTCACAGGCAGCAAGAAAGCGGTACACAGCAGTGAGGACAGTGGGTGGGAGGCACTCGGAAGAAGAGCCCAGTCCCAAGTAGTGAGGAAAAGCATGGTCTTGCACACGCACCCCAGGCTGTGTTTCTGTACTTCTAGAGAACAACCCTGTTTCCTCCTGTTTTCTCCTCCCAGACTGCCAGAGCCCCTAAGAGGAGAGAGGTGGGGCCCCTAGGGGAGAAGCCAGCCGGCTGCTTTCTATGGAAGGTGAGGAGGGGTGAGCAATGCCCTTGCTCCCATGGGCAGCTCCGAGGTGCAGACACCAGCGTGGTCCCAGAAGAGCCCCCAGGTGTGAGCTGGCCATCCCACTTCAGCCTTGTTCTACCTGCTCTGTCACCTCTCCTGCCCAGGAGAGTCTCTTTCTCTGCCCGCCCCTTCCATGTTGCCCTTTCTCGGAGCCCTCTCCTTACACTCCTTCTTGCTGATTCCATCCACAGCCATGGCTCTCTCTAACACCTTCTCTGGGCATCTTTTGTATAACATTTAAAATAAAAAATGGGTCTGAATCTGATCAGGGCTTCCAATTTCTAGGTCATACAGGAGACAGAGGAACATGTTAAAGCACACCAAGAGCATGGAAAACTCTATGGGCAAAGAATTCCATTTCTTCAAAAATAAAGGGAGAAGATGGGGGGTGGGGGAGAGAATCCACATAGTAAAAGAGACTTAAAAGCCTATCAAACAATCCCAATCTATGGTCTAAAATGAATTCTGATTCAAATAAACTGTTTTTTTTTTTTAATGGAAATTTGAACCTGACTTGATATTAATAATATATTACTCAATTGGTAAGGCATAATAATGGTATTGTGCTTATGTTTCTTAAAAAAAGTCCTTATCTTTTGAAATTCATACTGAAATATTTATTACGAAAGATATGATGTCTGGAATTTGCTTCAAAACCAGTGCAGGGAGAAGTGGGTGCAGGTTGGGAGAAAACGAGATGGACCATGATGTCATCATTGTCAAGGCTGGGTGATGGGAACACGGGTGCTCGTTATGTTCTTTCTACTTTTGCTTATTTTTTAAGTTCTCTATAATAAGAAGTTAAAAAATAGAAAGAAAAAAGGAAGAAAAGGCTATGTTCCAGCTAATTAGTCTCAAACATTGCCAGGGCTACATACAAGTATGTGAAGATAACCTGAGAAGATTTTTGTTACTGACTTGTGTGACTTTTCTGGTGCCCTCTGACCCCTAACTGGGTTGATCTTTGACCTGTTTTTTTTTGTTTTGTTTTGTTTTGTTTTTGAGAGAGAGAGGGTGCAAGTGAGCTAGGGGCAGAGAGAGAGAGAGAGAGAGAGAGAGAGAGAGAGAATGAATCCCAGGAGGAGCTGAGAAAGAGAGAGGCGAGGGGAGAGAGAGAAAGTGGGGCTCACCCAAAGTGGGGCTAGTGCTCACTCAATGTGGGACTCGAACTCACAAACTGTGAGATTGTGACCTGAGCCAAAGTCAGATGCTTAATGACTCAGCCACCCAGGCACCCCGTCCAAATTCCCCATTTCTATTAATGGTTGAGTACTTCCTCTGCTGCTATCACAGACTAGAGCCAGACTATTGAGCCATCTTCAACTCCCCACTCTTCTCTCTGTATATCCATTTAGTCAGCAGGTTCCATGGATTCTTCCTTCACAGTGTCCCTCAGACTCATCTCTTCCTTTTCACTCTTATAGTGATCTTCCAATCCCAGGTGTGGGTTCTTTCTGTCCTGTGTGCCTTTACTTTCTCACGAGCTCCTGTCCTTAGTGTCATCCTTCCAGCCGTCTCATTACCCTTGGCCATTAGAGAGTGCCATTAGATCAAGAGCCTCAGGTTTAGTCTGAAGCCAAAAGAGGGGGAATCGTGATGTAGGCATTGCAAGGTGCCTGACAATCTCAAAGGAGTCTCGTTCAAAGGAACCTGGGATGATGTTTATCAGGCAACCAACAAAAAGGGCTCCACACCTCAAAGAGTCTAATGTGTAAAACATTATTTCTCAGTACATCCTTCACCAATTGTTGATACGTCCATAATACCCCAGACCTGGTTGATCATCAAGCAGAATTCAAGGTCAAAAGGATTCCATTCAAGTGGGTCAACAGACAAATGAAAGAACTCCTATGACAGAAGGAAGATCCAGAGATTTCTGCTAATTTCTCTAGTATGCTCTATAGTAGAGCAATAATACATCAGGTTTTCTAAACCAAGGACATAAGATTTGACACATCATTTTCAGATTTGTTCATTCATTCATACGAAATTTGTACAAAAGTGTACAAAAATCATATTGTTATCTACTTAAAAATCATCTTTATTGAGGAAAACTTACATTTAATGAAATTGGAACTGTCCAGGAAAATTCAGGCTATGGGGTCACCAGGGCCAAACAGCCTCAAAATGCTTGAAAATAAAACTAATTTCTTTGAGGCTCCCAAAGAGACCTTTATTATCAGCCTAGATTAGCACCCCCTTCTTTTGAGGAGGGATTTTCTCCTTCCTAGGTCAATCATAAGCATCTCTTGGGGCAGGGGTGGGTAAATGAACCAGTGTTTCCCTAGAATTTTCTAATTGGTTCTGGTAAGGAAGGGTCCTCTGTCTTCTTTGGAGGAAATTAAGGATGTAGCCATTCAGGTTGTGGGTCTTGTGCAGCCAGCCAGCCTGAAAGAATGAAGCCAACATAAGAGAGATTTGAAGGACTGGAGTTCTTGGTTCCAAGCATGACTGAGGCCAGCTGCATCCCTACCTCTCTAGTTACTTGGGCTTAGAAAGCGTTTGGTTTTAACTGGTAGCTTTAGTCTTTTGTTTTTGTTTTTAATCAATTACCATAAGAGAATCTCTGACAAACAATCAGTGATAGCGTGAGCAGGGCAAGGTAACCACGTGAAATCAAAACAATAAAAGAAGAGAGCCACTTGCTGGGGTCTCCTGGAAGGCAGTAGAAAGACTTCAACTCTTGGGGCGCCTGGGTGGCTCGGTCGGTTAAGCATCCGACTTCGGCTCAGGTCATGATCTCACGGTCCGTGAGTTCGAGCCCCGCGTCGGGCTCTGTGCTGACAGCTCAGAGTCTGGAGCCTGTTTCGGATTCTGTGTCTCCCTCTCTCTCCGCCCCTCCCCTGTTCATGCTCTGTCTCTCTCTGTCTCAAAAATAAATAAACGTTAAAAAAAAAAAAAAAAAGACTTCAACTCTTTAAAAGTTTTAAGCAACGGTAGTGATTGACACCTCCTAGAAAATGACCTTGTCATGTCATAAAAGGAGCTGCTGATTTTATTTGAGAGAGAGAGGATGAGTGTGCATGTAAGTGGGGGAAGGACAGAGAGAGACAGAGAATCCCAAGCAGGCTCCATGCTCAGGGGCTCAGCATGGAGCCCAACACTGGGTTCAATCCCATGACCCTGGGATCATGACCTGAGCCAAAATCAGGAGTTGGACGCTCAAATGACTAAGCCACCCAGGTACCTCTGAAGAAGTCCATTTTATTTTATTAAAATTTTTTTTAATGTTTATTTATTTTTGAGAGAGAGAGAGAGACAGAAAGACAACATGAGCAGGGGAGGGGCAAAGAGAGAGAGAGGGAAACACAGAATCTGAGGCAGGCTTCAGGTTCTGAGCTGTCAGCACAGAGCCCAACATGGGGCTCGAACCCACAAACTTTGAGATCATGACCTGAGCCAAAGTCGGACGCCTAACCGACTGAGCCACCCAGGTGCCCCTAAAGGATCTGATTTTCAAATGAGGCCTCAGTGATACTGTTACCTAATGTTACATCATGAGAAAGATCAACCTTTGACCAGAAAGAAGCAGGTTCCCCCTCCCTCCCCTGCATAATTCATAATTTTCTCAAATTCTTAATAAAAGTTGCATATCTTTAGGCAGAAGCTGCCTAATGCCAGATTTTTCACTAACATTAAAATGCCATTTGCCTCAAGTTCTTCTTCTGCTCAAGACTTCTCAGGGCAGCTATGTTGGTTGCAGGGTAATTTCCAGATGCCTCAGCTGGGCACTCAGGGCTTCCAGAAATGGGCCTGACCTTCAACTTCATTTCCTACAGCTCAACAAAATAAACATCTTATACTGACCGTGCTATTCTCTGCATCCCTTCACGCTGGTCATGCTCACGCCTTTCCACAGCGTGGTTTAAGCTACTGACTCTGAAACCGGTCTGTGGTGCTTTGTTATGGCTGCCCTAGCCAACGACAGAGAGGGCTAACATCCGGGGAGGAAGCAGGGCAGCAGGTACAACAGAGACTGGAAAGCACTATGCCAGGAGGCGCACCCACCTCAGCTGTGGGGAACTTTCTCAGGGGGAGTTACTCTGGGTTGTAAAGCTCTTGAGAAGTGCTTGCCTTTCCCAAGGAGCCCAGGGGCAGTGGTCTTCCTGTGTATTTCACCTTCCTACTTCCACCCCATACAACCAGGTTAAGCACCTTGGAGCCCGTGTCAGGTGCATGCCTGACTCAGGGAGATGAACTTCAGACAGTGGGCCACTGAGCAAGCCCATCTCCCTTAGCAGGGGGAGCCGGTGGGGTGGGGGGAGGAAGCTGAGAGCTACTAAAGGAGACCACAATGGCCACTCATAAAACAAACTGGTGAGGCGCAGAAGAGGTCAGAATAAGCAGTCAGGCAGGCAGAAGGAGCCAGGGGAGAGAACGAGAAGTGGAGGCAGGAGCCATAGGTGCGTGGGGGGGCTCTCTGGGCAGCAGGGAGCTATGAGGGTTTCTGCTGGGACCGGTTCCCCTGAGGCAGGCACCTCCCCTGCTGCCACGGAGCCTATTAGCGTCTTCATCTCCCAGGAATGGACGGGAGAGGACTTCCTGTGAGGCTAATTACTTTTAAGACATGGGTCCCTTTTCATGACCTTCCCAGATTCAGCACACTGAAGGAACTAGCTGGAGGATCAGAGAGGGGAGGCAGCGGCCAGGCCATCTGACTCACCAGGCCCTTCCCACCCCTTCCTGTGCCTTCCCTCTGCCTGGTAGGCATTTCCTTCCTGTCCCATCCTTTGCAGGGAGCATCACCTCCCCTGGGTGATCTTCCCAGACCTGGGGCAGCACACATCTTCCCTTGTACCTTGGTGTGTCCCAATTGCGACTATTTTGATAATCTGATTAATTATTAGTAATCAGTTAATTGTTGTAGAGCATAAGCTCTGGGGGCACAGAGTCCACTTTTGCACTTAGTATCCCCAGGACTTAGCACAGTGCCTGGTACACGTAGGTTCTCAGTACATATTCATTGAGTGAAGGACCGATAGGTACTCATTATGCACATAAGGAAAGATGAGGCGATTTGCTTAAAGTCACACATCCAACAAGTGACCTGAGGAGAAAGTCAGATGGATGTGATGTAACCAGCACTTGGGTGTCACAGACTATCAGTCTGGAGTTCTCCCTTGTCCAGCAAGAGAGCAGACACAGAACTGAATACGAGAAAGGCTAATGTCTGGGAGGAGACAAGAGCCCCGAACAGGTGTTTTGTCTCTGTATTTATTGAGCTCACAAGATATTACCCACATGGTGAACGAAAGAAAACAAGATCTTACACACATGGTGAATGTGAAGAAAACAAGATCTTACACACATGATGAATGTGGAGAAAACAATCCGACAGTAATCATAACTTGTATGCGTAAGAAGCAAAGGGTCTGGGGGGGGGGCAAGTGGATTTGTAATCAAAGTACAATAGTATATTGGTGTCAGATGGAAAGTAATTTCCTGCAGGTGATATTACAAGTTACTTGTGATTCCATTACAATATCTCACTACCTAACCTTGGGCACTTTCCCCTGTGGTGGTGGCTTTCCACCCTAAGCTTTTTTTCTGATCCATTTACGTAAGTAGAACCCATTTCCCCACACTTAGGCAAACACACAGGCACACACATTCCCCTAAACCCCCCAAACCCTGCTGCGGACCTTTTCTCAAAAGAATAGAATACATTATGATTAATTCACTGACCGATGGGGGCAGAGAAACCAATTCTTGTAAATGCACTTGGGTGCCTATCGTGGGAGTGAGCTTTTATAACCAAACTTCCACAGAAATAGAATTTGAGAGAGTACTGTGGAACAGAGGGAATATATTTAGAGGCTGTTTTCCTTTTACAGATCTTATTTTTTTTTAATTTTTTAAATCTTTTATTTATTTTTGAGACAGAGAGAGACACAGCATAAGCAGGGGAGGTGCAGAGAGAGAGAGAGAGGGAGACACAGAATCCGAAGCAGGCTCCAGGCTCTGAGCTGTCAGCACAGAACCCGATGCCCGCATCGAACCCACAAACCGTGAAATCATGACCTGAGCCAAAATTGGACACTTAACCAACTGAGCCACCCAGGAGCCCCTACAGATCTTATTTTAAATATAGTATATACGCTCAGGTCCAAGTAATTCTGGTTTAGATCTACTTGATCTCTACACTAAAAACTGCACTGCTTGGTCCTGAATCACACTTGACAAATTACAATACCATCTGACAACTCCATAGTAGCATTTTGGCCAAAGACAGATTTCTGACGGCCCCTAGTAACTGGGATCAGATTTGCAGCACAAAAGCCTATTAACTGTCACATGAAAATTGGACAGAGATCTGCTATTTTGGTAAACTAATGCCTGCCTTCAGGATCATCCAGGGTCCACTTGACCCATAAAATTCCCTTAGATTGTGTGATTCTAAGAATGAGAAAAACTTTAGATTTTGATCTGAGTTCAAAAACTTTCACCACTCAAAAGGAATCTGGGGCTATCTTTTCACATGCCTTTTCATTCCATACTTTACAAAAGACCTGAAGAATGAGAAAAATCCTATGAGCCCTGGCTCAGAGAATAGCAAGAGAACTAGACACTGTCACTAAGGTGATGGAAAGCTTCATCCAGAAGGTTCATAAAATCAGACAGGCAGTGGTTGGGAATGGAACCCTCTAGATGCCATACAGGCCTCTCAAGGTAGAACACAGGTCACCTTTGAAGAGTATTGTACCTGCATTCCTATAGACCTCTTTAGAATCTTCAACATTATTAAAAAGATTTGAGGGACAAACATGGAAATCAAGAGATTAGGTAATTTAGCTAATACCCCTGTATCTGGTTCTACAGGCTCTGCAGATTGGGGCTAGAACCTGTTTTCTTGGCATAATTTTGAGTAAATTAGCTCTTGGTTTGGAAATGGATAACACACCCTGATCATAATCTATTCTACTACTACCTGTCTGTGTTGCAGTATTCAAATGTGTGACCTCCAGAGATCAGAAGCTAGTGCATAGCCATTGCCCTATCACATGAGCAACAGCTGATTGGGCAACAGAAGGAATGAGAAGCTACCTTTCATCTGACTATAGGTTATGTTCTCTGAACTGCCTTTAGATCAACCCAGATTATGGGGAAGATCTGGATTTCACAGAATACTGTCCTATGGACTGACACTGTCTGCTCTCAGCCAAAATGGGACTGAAAGAGAAACACCTGACTGATACTTAACAGTAAAAACCAGCTCAAATCGAAAAAGAAAAAAAGCAGCCCTACCTTTAACCATGCTGGGAGGACAGACAGATAAGGCCGGCTGCAAAATAAACAGAAAATATTTTTCTGTCAAGGCTGTAAAATGCCTCAATAACCCTCTCTGAGTGCTAATTGATTCGTATCAATGACGCCCCCAGACCTACCTTGCTATTTACCTTTATCACCGTGGATAGCCCACTGCTCAGCCACAAACAACACTCAATTCTCAGTTAATCTCAGCTTCTCCTAATGCTGCCTGAGAACCAGCAGTCAATCTGGAAGTGGCCCCTTCTCTTACACTCTCCTCAGAATCCTGAGGAAAGATGCTTCCCTCCTTCCTGTGGTCCTCTGGAGCGCCCTTCCTCACTGCAATCAGGTCAATACACCCTAATGTCCAGCCACAGGAAGTCCATGGCTGTAAGGTGGTCACGACCATCGCCTGAGGGAGGGGTGTGCTATCTTCTGGGTGAACAGATGGTCGTTTTGGGGGGTTACCAGGGGCCAAATTTCATGCTTACACCTTCCCCTTTCTCCTTTCTACATTGTTTTTTCCTGTTTCTGGCTGCTTCTTACACATTTGTAGGAGTCCATATTTCTGCTATCCAGACGCTTCATCCCCATATCTGATACTTGGTACTTTTTTTTTTTTCTTTCTTGTTGTAAGACACTCTGTTCCCTTTTATATTTCCCCTAGACCTTTTCTTCATTCTATCATTTGGCTATGACAATTGCACTTTTCTGGCTGCTGTATCATTTCTCAGCCTTTGTGTCCTTGACCTATGCCTTTCATTTAAACTTCTGTGCAGCCATATGACTGCTTGCTGTTTAAAACCTTTCGTTGGCTTTCACCTTAAGTGTTTTTATTTTAAAACTTTTTAAAAAATGTTTTATTTACTTTTTGACAGAGAGAGAGAGAGCATGAGCAGGGGAGGGGCAGAGAGAGAGGGAGGCACAGAATCCAAGCAGGCTCCAGGCTCTGAGCCGTCAGCCCAGAGCCTGACGCAGGGCTTGAACTCACAGGCTGCGAGATCATGACCGGAGCCGAAATCGGACGCTCAACTGACTCAGCCACCCAGGCTCCCCAAGTGTTTTTAAAACATTTAAAAAACATTGCCTACCATTCTGTACTTCCTTGAAAACAGATCCAAATATCCTTCCCTTGTCCTTTTATTTTACTTTGCATTTCTTTGTAACACACAGTCGCCAAGTGCTGGGTAACGCTGACCCCCCCCCCCCCCGCCCCGCCCCGCCCCGCCCCGGCCTTTGAGGCCCCCATTTCCACTCTTACCACAGTATCCGCAGTGAGGCAGCGTCTTCCGATTTGGATTTCACAACCTCCAATCTTTCTTGCACATTCGGTTCAGGGCCGGGGAGTGGCACACACCCGGTTACAACAAAACGCCATTTCTCAAGACTCCCCTCGTCCAGCTAACTGTGGAAAGTCCAGCCTCGCCCCGGGGCGTTGGGAGACGAAGGCCGAAGGCCAACGCTCACCAGCCCTCCCTCCCACCGCAGGGCGGAGTATCTCGTCAGCACGCGGGGTCTTATGGCAGGTGCCTGCACTTGCCACGCGCAGCGCCCCCTGCGGTCCTCCCTGCTGCTGGAGCCCTAGAGTCCAGGGCGCCCACCTGGCTTGACGGCCTCTACCCGCTGTGATCACTCTCTCACCTCTACTGCAGACTGGCTGATCCTGGACCCCTAGAGCCCTGCCAGGACTGGAGGGAGACAGGCATGTACATTAGATGGCGTCCCAATGTGACGCCTCGCCCATGCTAGGTTCTTTCTAGATTCCCTCCGGAAAATGGAAGTGAAAGGTTCAAAGTCGTTACCTTCCCCCAAGTGGTGCAAGAGCTGAATATTCTTCTATTGTACACTGTCTGACTGGTTCTGCTTCTTTCTACCCCGACTTCACTCAGTTCCCACCCCCACAACACCCCCCCCCCCCCCCCCCCTGCCGCCCCCCCCCCCCCCCCCGCGTAAGTGTCCCACACGTTGTAAACCCACCAGGATGGGTCTGCAGTGGTAGCTCCTCTCTGCCAACTCCCCTTGTTCACAGTGCGCTGGAGATTCTGGCTCTACTACTCACACAGTGACCTAAGGCGTTGGCTTCAGAAATCGGGCATAAGGTTATTTTCAGCCACACTACCTTCCAAAAGATTCCTCTGAAATTCCCTTCCGGTGCCACTTTATTTAGAAGAAATGTACATAGGTTATCAACTATTTAGGAGAGAAAGGAAGGGGGAGTTGTCAATATTCTTACTTTTCATATTTGATAACAGAATTTTTCCCTCTACAATTTATATCTCCAACCATCCTCTTAAACCTCAGAGCTTTAGTGCTTTTTTCCTGGATGGAAGCAGTCGTTCTCAGAAAGTTCCAGCATGGCGTGCCCCACTTGCTCCCTCAAACCCTGGTGGTACCCTTCCATGGGAAAAGTGGGATGTGGCACAACCGGCAATGGGCACCTGTCTTCCAAGCTGGTGGTAGTTCCTATCTTGGGGGTGGGGCAAGGTTAGTTAGCTCACAGCCTGGGGATCATTTGCGCTTGTTGAGTTCAGTGTGGGGTCAGCTGGGCTCAGAATAAGCTTCTCTATTGTGTGTGCTTTTTGTGAAAATATTTTGAAAAATATTCTTCTTCTTTTTTAAAGTTTATTGATTTGCTTTTGAGAGGGAGAGAGCAAGCAGGGGAGGGGCAAAGAGAGAGGGAGAGAGAATCCCAAGCAGGCTTCATACTGTCAGCACAGAACTGGATGCAGGGCTCGAACCCACAAACCGTGAGATCATGACCTGAGCTGAAACCAAGAGTCAGACGCTTAACTGACTGAGCCACCTAGGTGCCCTGAAAAATACTATTCTTCTTCTTCTTCTTTTTTTTTAACATTTTATTTTATTTTTGTGTGTGTGAGAGAGAGAATACGAGCAGGGAGGGGCAGAGAGAGAGGGTGACACAGAATCTGAAGCACAGAGTCCGACGTGGAGCTTGCACTCACAAACCATGAGATCATGACCTGAGCCGAAGTGGGACACTCAACCAACTCAGCCACCCAGGCACCCCTGAAAAATACTATTCTTAATTAACTTCACAATAGTGAGGACTGTGTTTTGTGTTTAAATACTGGCCGCCACTTATTATACTATTGTGCAGTTTACTGTACTTTCCTACTGGTTGGGCAGGTCTGCCTCCCTGGTCCCCACGACGATGGGCTCTTCCCAGCCCTTCCTCTGGGATGTCTTCCCCTACCTCCTGTGTCCCGGGCACAGTGTGAGGGCTCCAGGACCTTGTGCCTCAGCAGGTGTCACCTTCTGATTGGTGTGGGAAGCTCTTGTTAGGTATTTCAGATCACACACGAGTCTACCCATCGGGCCCCCCCTTTCCCAAATAACCCATTGTGGTGGGGGAGAACCCCCTGCACAGGAAGCAGCCCTCTCTGTATCACATTGGAGTTTTCCATCTAGAGGCCCCATCTCTAGAATTTCTCATTCCTCGCCTACTTAAGTAGCATGGTTGTACCCGATACTCAAGTGTTATGATGTTAATATCCTTCTTCTCCTGCTCTGCCTTTATCTCATGTTCTACTGGTTTCTCTGGTTCTATGCTTCAACATCTCTTTCCTGGGAGACTTGACATTTCTACAGTGAACCTCTTATTCTTATCCCATCTCACCTTTCCCTTGTTAATTCCCCTGGGTGGTCTACTCTCCCTCCTTTTCCTCCTCTGCTGGCTTGAGACAAACTTGAATCACGGTCCTTTTGTTTCCTCTTAAGAGCAATCTTCTCCCACTTACTATTTCTTGCTGCTGCTCTTGTTTATTGCTTACTGTCATGAAGGTCATCTGTTCCATCCTCCCAACACCCACACCAAGCTGAGATCTATCTTCTATGTTTTCTCCTGGAAGCTTTTCCAGGAAAACTCCCCATTCTCTTACGTACCCCCCCTCCCCGAAATTCTTCCCTTCATTCTTTCAGACAAATGAAAATAAATCATTTGTTCCTCTTCCCCTTTCTTTCATATGCCCTTCAGTCAAGCCTGACTCTGCCCACCTCCTTCTAATTTTGTCATGCTCTTGAGCAATTTGCCTAACTGTATGTTAGCTGTAAACAACTGGTCTTATTTATCTTTCATGCTTATACTTTCTCACTTACATCTAGACCAGTGTTCCCAACGTCACATTGCACCCAAGAGTTTTGAATCACACCTGTGTGTCTTCTACTGTGTCTAAATGGAATTATCTAGCATGTGGTTAACCTCAAATTCCTCTTTGACATAGTTTTTTTTTTCAGTATATGAAACTTATTGTCAAATTGGTTTCCGTACAACACCCAGTACTCATCCCAAAAGGTGCCCTCCTCAATACCCATCACCCACCCTCCCCTCCCTCCCACCCCCCATCAACCCTCAGTTTGGTCTCAGTTTTTAAGAGTCTCTTATGCTTTGGCTCTTTCCCACTCTAACCTCTTTTTTTTTTTCCTTCCCCTCCCCCATGGGTTTCTGTTAAGTTTCTCAGGATCCACATAAGAGTGAAAACATATGGTATCTGTCTTTCTCTGTATGGCTTATTTCACTTAGCATCACACTCTCCAGTTCCATCCACGTTGCTACAAAGGGCCATATTTCATTCTTTCTCATTGCCACGTAGTACTCCATTGTGTATATAAACCACAACTTCTTTATCCATTCGTCAGTTGATGGACATTTAGGGTCTTTCCATAATTTGGCTATTGTTGAGAGTGCTGCTATAAACATTGGGGTCCAAGTGCCCCCATGCATCAGTACTCCTGTATCCCTTGGGTAAATTCCTAGCAGTGCTACTGCTGGGTCATAGGGTAGGTCTATTTTTAATTTTCTTTGACATAGTTTGATTCTGTACTAATCATCTCCAGTCTAGACCCCAAGCATGGTCAAACACCTTTTATTAGGCTCATAAGGTCTTTTAAAGTAAAAAACTCTCCTACATCCATCCTTATGTGTAGAAATAATATCCAAAATACAACTGATCCTTGAACAACATGGGTTTGAATGCATGGGTCCACTTATATGTAAATTTTTTTCAATAAATATATGGGAAATGTTTTTGAAGATTTGTGAAAATTTAGAGAAAGTTACAAACTGTGTAGCCTAGAAATATCGAAGAAAATTACTTAATTTTCTTTAAGTATAAAATATGTATAGATTCTAGGCTGTTTTATCACTACCATAAAATATACACAAATGTCTTATAAAAAGTTAAAACTTATGAAAATTTATGCACACAAACACCAATTGTACATGTTGCTATTCGCAGTTGAGAAAATATAAACAAACGTAAAGATGTGGTATTAAATCATAATTGCATAAAATTACTGTGCTACTGGGGCGCCTGGGTGGCGCAGTCGGTTAAGCGTCCGACTTCAGCCAGGTCATGATCTCGCGGTTCGTGAGTTCGAGCCCCACGTCAGGCTCTGGGCTGATGGCTCAGAGCCTGGAGCCTGTTTCCGATTCTGTGTCTCCCTCTCTCTCTGCCCCTCCCCTGTTCATGCTCTGTCTCTCTCTGTCCCAAAAATAAATAAATGTTGAAAAAAAATTGTTTAAAAAAAAAATTACTGTGCTACTGCAATAATTTCATAGCCACCTCCGGTTGCTGCTGTTGCACTGAGCTCCAGTGTGAGTACCCGTTTAAAAAGTCATGTGATGCTGAAGAAGAAGTTTCTTTCCAGTGATTGTGTATCACTGTAAACACTGATCTCTCATGGTTCCCACATATTTTTCATCATGTGAGGACAGTACCATAAACCTGGAATAACATCCTGAGACCCATATGAAGTGCCACTAGTGATGCCGCAAGTGCTCCCAAGAAGCAGAGAAAAGTTGTGACATTACAAGAGGAAGTTGAATTGTAAGGTACGTACCATAGACTAAGGTCTGCACCCTGCAGTTGCCCACCATTTCAAGATAAATGAATCCAGCATCAGGATCATTGTAAAAAAAGAGAAGGAAATTCATGAAGTTGTTGCTGCAGCTATGCCAGCAGGTGCAAAAACTTTGCACTCTTTGCAAAATACTGTTTTATTTTATATATTGAAAATGCAGCTTTCATGTGGGTGCAGGATTGCTAGAAGAAAGGCACACCTATGGACTCTAATATGATTCGAGAAAAAGCAAAGTCATTATATGACAACTTAAAGCAAAAGAAAGGTGGAAGATCTAAAGTTGGAGAATTTAGTAAAGTAAAGGATGGTTTGATAATTTTAGAAAGAGGTTTGGCTTAAAAAATGTCAAGATAACAGGAGAAGCAGTTTCTGATGACCGAGAGGCAACAGATGACATCCCAGACACCAATAAGAAAACTGTTGAGGACAAAAGACACATGAAAAGATGCTCAATATAACTAATCATCAGGGAAATGTAAATTAAAATCACTATTACCTTACACCTGTTGGAATGTCTAATATCAAAAAGACAAGACATAACAAATGTTGGCGAGAATGTGGAGAAGGAACACTTGTGCACTGTTGGGAATGTAAATTGGTGCAGCCGCTGTGGACAACAGTAGGGAAATTCCTAAAAAAAAAAATAAAAATAGAAATACCATATGATCCAGTAATTCCACTACTGGTATTTACCCAAAGAAAATGAAAACACTAACTCAAAAAGATAATGACCTCTGTGTTTATTGCAGCATTATTTACAATAGCCAAGATATGGAAGCAACCTAAATGTTTACTGATAGTGAATGGATAAGGAGATGTGGCATATTATATATATATAATATATATTTATATTTATAAATATAAATTTATTTATATATATTTATATATATTTATATGTAAATATATATTTATATATAAATAAATACATATATAAAATAGAGTATAACTTGGTTATAGAAAAGAATGAGACCTTGCCATTTTGAGAACATGGATGGACCTAGAGAGTATTA